GGGGCTGAGACGTGTCTTGCTCTGTGGTTAGCAGCGAGTGATGTGTGCTGTGGTGAGTGTCACAACACACAGGTGGCCGGAGGAGGCCACCTTGGGCTCTTGGGGAGAGGGAAGTGCTGGGGAGGGTCTTGCAGGAGGGCTTAGCCAGCCAGGAAGATTGGAGCAAGGGGTTAGGGCCATTGGGGCCCAGTTACCCTCCCATGCACATGGGGTGCTTCAGGGGTCATCCCTACTGAGAGGCCCTTGTTGTCCCTTCCTGATGGGGAAGAGAAGTTTCTGGAAATTGATCCAGGAAATTGGCCAAAAAACCTTGAGGAGAAATTCTATTGGCTGCACGATGCCCCATATACCACAGGAATCAAACATCGGCCTAGTGCGGGGTCCCCAGACTTCTCCTGTGAAGGGCCAGGTAGTGAATTTTCAATTTTAGTGTCACCAATTTGGTGTTTAGTTTTCTTTTGGTTTATTTAAAAAACATTCATGTGTGCACGTGCACACACAGATACACACATGCACATGCGTACACACACATGCCACAGGGGCCCCCTCGGGTTGATGTCCTGACATTTTGAGAAAGAGACTGGTGGTGGCGCTGAATCCCAGATGAGGGAAATGCATGCTTCTTGCATGGTTCTGTTTGGACACAATGGATGCAGCTCCTGCACGGGGTAGCCGCTTCATCACATTCACTGAAGAAATGAATGACGGAGTGTGTGAATATGGGTAACACTTCCCCAGAGTTTCCTACCTATTTCCTTACTGAATCCTCACGGCAACCTCACGAGGCAGGTGCTGGTCTCACCATCTTTTTACAGATGAGGAAGTGGAGTGGCCTGCCAGGGCCCCACAGTGGCAGGCGGAGGAGCCGGGACGGGCTCCAGGGGTTTTGGGCTCTGACTCTCCTCCGATTCACAGGGAGACCATTCTGTGCGCTGCATATAGTCACACGCCCCGTCTCATGACAGAAACGGGCCTGTGTTGGGGATAACTGCAATAAGTTTTCCTTTCTAGTTCATGAGCGACCCAATTCTGTACCAGGAGAGGCTGCTGAAGCCCGCCATGCAGCTGCTAGAGAAGGGCGTGGACCAGAGGGAGGAGGTCCTGCAGGTGCTGGCCCTGCGTGCCCTCGGCAACATGGCCCTGGGCGCCCCCAAGAAGGTGCTGCATCCGACCTCGACCCGGGGGCCCAGGGTGCAGGACCCAGTGGGCTGAGGGTCAGAGCTGAAGGCTCCCTGCCCCCCAACCCCTAGGTGAGGCAGTACCGCAAGCTGCTCCTGGAGAAGTGCCTATACGCCCTGAGGGATGCCCGCAGCACCAGCGTGCCCTCTGAGGGCATGGAGGCCCTGACCAAGATCCTGGCCGAGCTCCGGGAAGGGGACGTAGGGTCCTTCTTCAATGCCATCTCTGAGCAGTGCAGGTCCTTCTTTGACAATGTGAGTCCAGACGAGAGCCTCGCTGGGCCCAGGCCCTGGGTGGGGGCTGCGCAGGTGCTCAACCAGGTGAGCAGAAAGGACAGCAGGTCTCACTTGGCGCTAATGGATCAATTGGCTGAGCATGGATCTTGTAAAAAATAATCTTGTTCTGGGGCCCAGGGAACCCTTCTCCCTGCTATAAAGGAATGAGCTTTCCCTTCCAATTCCTGGCCGCCCACAAATGCTCTTTGGCCACTTGTGACATGCCGGATGGGGCCTCTGCTAGGCAGTGTGTGCCTGCAGATTCAACACAGCCCTCCTCTAGGAAGCGAAGGTCACCAACACCTGAGTTATGCCCAGTCACGGAGCCCTGGAGGAGAGACTCCGTCCTGATGGAATGATCCAGAAGGCTTCACAGGGGTCAAAACATCCAAAACGGTCCGTGGAGAATGGCTGCAGTCTTGTTGGGCTTCTAGTTCCCCGAGTTTCAGAACTGCTTTGTCCGTCTTGGCCACAGGAGAGCGAGCTGCTGCGCTTGAAAGCCTTCCTCCTGTTCAGCAAGCTGGCCAAGGTGGTCAGGGTTTCCAAGAAGCACTTCTTCAAGGGGGAAGTGAAGAGAGCCTGGGTCCCGCTCATGCTGCACTGCCAGGACCCCTGCCCTGACGCAGCCCAGGTAAGGCACCCTCGGCTCTGCGGCTCTGCGTTCCGGCCCGCTGTCCCCGAGAGGAAAGTGTTTTCTGGGCCCGCTGGCTGAGCTGCTGCAGGCTCCCCACTCCCGGAGAGCCCAGAAACCACATTCAAGGCGCCCCACAAACCGGCTTCCTTCGGGGGCTGTTTCCTTCTTCCCCTGTCACTTCCACCTATTGCCCTTTCTTCTACCAGATTCACTTTGGGGTGTTATGGTTCAGGCATGTTTAAAACTCACCTTAAACCTCACCTGCTTCCTGCGGGGCAGGCTTGTGGGGTGAGGGTGAGGGGCTCTCCCTGGCTCTGTGACCCTGTTCCTCGTCCCTCTCCAAGTCCCAGCTCCTGTAATGCTTTGGGTGGGTGGAGGGAAGGGGAGAGACCACGCCTCCTACTCTCACTGCTGCCTAGCAGGCAACACTGGCTGGCTGGGGACACACAGGTAGGGAACCTCTCACCGCACACACGGACCATGACCCTGTCCTCTGTCTTCCTATAGAAGGGGAGGTGGTGGAGAGGTGGCTGAGATCAGCGGCCGTTGTGCAAAAAACAAGTGACAAAGACACAGTTGTGGGGATATAGCTGGCTGCAAACAAGGGGTCCTCAATAGCTCAATTTTTAATTAGCACCTTAGTTCCCAGTTCTGGGGTCACAAGATAAGTCCCCTCCATCCTGCTGCTGCGAGGCCTGCCAATTTGCATGTGGGGTGGGGGTGGTCCGGGTGGCATCCACAGGGATGTGAGGGGAGGCCTGCAGTGCCCCCCTGACTCGGGACTTTGCCCTCATCCTGCCTCCCTGCCTGGGCTCTGCCTTGGGCACCCTGGTGACCCAGGACACAGAGCATCACCTCTTGGAGACTCCTTTCTTCACTAATCCTCACCTCCATCAAGGGCTCCCACTGTTATTCCACGTCTTATCAGCAACTGTCCTGTGGCCGGTGCTTCAGGGAAGGCACAGCAGATAAGTGACCGAGAGGCTTTAATGAAGGAGCCTCAAAGAGGACAGGCCAGGGGACCAGCATGGATGGGAAGTGCCAGAGGCTA